ATAATTTAATTTTGTATATAATATATATATATATAATATATATATATATATATATATATATATATATATATATATATATATATATATATATATGTATAATATATGTATAATATATATGTATATATGTATGTGTATATAATATATTTTGTATAATAGATGGTAAATTTAAGTATTTTTATAAGTATATAACTATTTTTAAATTTAGTCTAGATAAAGTGTCATCGAAAGTTCACAAAAGTTACCTTATTGATTACCTACTTATTTTCATTGCCTTTGTGATCCGATATAACGTAAAGGACAATTTGTAACTGTAACAATTCGTAATTGTCAAATTCGTTACAAACTACAGTTTTTAAGTACACATAAATAGTTTTTACTGTGAAATAGTACGATTTTGCCTTTGCTAGAACCCCCATTGTATGTTCAAATAAATGCTTATCGGCTTTGAACGATAATGAATCTCTTACGATAGCTTTTACTGGATACTACTGAAAGTAGGGCACTTGCTCTAAAACTTTATTTGAAGTCAAACAAACTTTTATTTTCAAGATATTCACGAATTTAATTGACAAAGAATTTGATGAATACTTTTATGAACTTATTGTTAGTGTAAAAACCCACTTGTTATTTGAGTTATGAGTTATGTTCATTTTCTTTTATAAAAAGAACTAAATACATTCCAACAAAAATGTCAAAACATTTAAATAGCGGGCGCAAGCAGCTAATAGTAATTTTAATTGAATATTTTGAAATTCGCATTAATTCTTCAAGAATTGTGATTACAATACCTGTATTCCTTTGAAATATTATAATTTGAATATAACTGCAAAATTGTTTTCTATTAATCTTTTAATTAAAAGTTTCTCTCTTCAACCTGGGACCGCCCCTGGGGTCCACATGGATACGCTATATTTTCAAGCCTCTCACATCTTATCGTTTATAAATGGAGGGGATATCAGTGTATTGGTACGCTTCTAGGAAGTGTTAATTCTTGTTTTGTTAGTATTGAAATTATTTCAGTAGAGTGAACGTGTACGTTTTATTTCAATTGTTAAAATGGATAAACTTATCGATGTTCAAGCAATAAATAATATTTTGAGGTAGGCTCTGAGTTATTACTTTAATTTTGTTTTATTATGTTATTAACAGCTGAAAGTTTATAAGAATATACAGTTTGATAAATTTTTGTTTGTGCAAGTTGCATTTATTTGAAACTTTTTCATGCCGTACCCATATGGACCCCGTGGCTAAACTTTATTTTCAGTCCTGGATTTTCGCTACAGGAAGCAATAGAGCTTATTTAAAAAAAACGATGATAATATAGCCCTAGAAAAATCTTTGTTGAACCTCCACCAAGTAATGTACTTATTGATGAAGCATCTGGAGACGAGAATAAAGGCGGATCTTTTCTACATTTACCTAGCAAGCAACTTTCAGCACATGTAGAGCTCGTTTTTACTAACGGTCGCATTGGTGGTAATTCAGATGATGCTATTCAAGAACTTTCAACCATTTCTTCATGTGTTTCTCATCAGTTTACACCAGGCCACAGTAGCTCTTCAGTTACAAACAACAATACTAATAATTATTCAGAAAACTTTGACCAACGAAATGTAAATGAAATTCCAGAATTTATTGGTTCTTGGTTAGGCTCATCATCATCATCTTTGGCTCTACAACCCTGGGTGGGTCTTGGCCTGTTCAAGAATTAGTCTCCATTCCCCCCTATCTTTCGCCCTGGCTTTCCAATTTCTGATCCCTAGATTCCTCAAGTCATCTTCGACTTGTGTTTTGAATCTAGATCTTGGCCTGCCTCTCTTAAAGGTTCCTACTGGCTCTTGATAGAATATCTGTCTTTGGGGGTCTCCAGTGTCCATTCTTTCAAGGTGTCCTAGCCACCTTAGTCTATTAATTTTAATAGACCGGACGATGCTGCATTTTTTATAGCATTGATAAAACTCAAAATTGTAGCGCCTGCGCGCCATATTCCGCTTTCTTATACTCCTCCCTATATGTGTCTAAGTATTCGTCTTTCAAAGCGGCCTAACAGTTCTTCGTCGCTTTTTATCATAGTCCATGTCTCTGACGCGTATGTCAGGACAGAGTTTTATATATTAGTAACTTGATTTTTCTGCTAATTATGTGTGATGTTAAGAACTGCTTTAGTCCAAAGTAAGCTCTGTTCGCCAGGTATATTCTTCTCTTAATTTCTACGCTTTCTACGCTTACTAGGTTCCTGTTATTTAGTTGTGTTCCAAGATATATAAACTCCGAGACCCCTTCGAATGTGTGTGCTTCTGTCACCAGATCTTGTGGTGCCGCTATTTGTGTGCTGTTCGTAATCTTCATGTATTTTGTTTTGAATACGTTAACCTGCAGTCCTATTGTCTTCACGGCTTTTTCTAATGTTTCAAAAGCCTGTATCAGGTCTCGTTTTGTCCGTGTTACTATGTCAATGTCATCTGCGTAGGCCAATATCTGTACACTTCTATTGATGATCGTACCTCTGGTTGTTATGCCCGATTTATCTATGGTTCTTTCTAGCGCGATGTTAAACAATAGACACAATAGACTGTCTCCCTGGCGTAACCCAGTATATGTTTGAAAAAGACCTTGACACTCTGTTTTGTACCTTGATTTTGCACTCAACTTTCGAAAGAGTTGCCTTTACCAATGTTATTAGATCTTGGTTGGACTATCAAAGAGATAATTTACAAATCGTAGAATATATTGAAGGTGCTATATTGAAATATGTAAATGGAGATTTTCCTACCTCGAGTAATGAAATATACAGCTTTTAAAAATCAAGAAAATCTAAATATTACACATGATGAAATAAAATGCTTCATAGGAATCCTTATTTTGAGTGGTTACAATTCAGTCTCATCTAAACGTCACTATTGGGAGAAGTCCGAAGATATTAGAAATGACTTGGTATCGAGAGCTATGAGAAGAAATAGATTCCTGTCCATCATGAAGTTCATTCACTGTTCCGACAACACTTAACTGGATATGACCGACAAGTTTGCGAGAATTAGACCTCTAATGAATATGATAAAAAAAAAGATTCCTGGAACTTTTTGTGCCTGAAGAAAATTTAAACTTCGACGAAATTATGATAAAGCATTTTGGAAAACATAGCGCTAAACAATTCATTAAAGGAAAATCGATCCGATTTGGCTATAAGGCTTGGTGTATTAAGAAGGTTATTATGTGACATTTGATATGTATAAGAGAAAAATGCTACAATTCCTGATGCTATAGCACATGTTTTAGAAAGGCTGCTTCTTCCTTTGTTCAACTTTTAAGCGAATTTCCTGCACAAAAAGGAAGTTACCATATCATTTTTACTTTGGCAATATCTTTACTTCAGTAAATCTATTCAACTTCCTTATATTCTGAGGCTACCACGCTACTGGAACAATGAGAAGTTCCTAAAACAGAATTCCTAAACTAGAAGTAAGAAAATCGAATGCTCCTGTTAAAAAATCAAACCAGCTGGTTAAAGAAAGAGGAAACAAACAAAAACCAAATCAAAAGTTGAAAAAAATCTTTCCACAGGTACTTGATCCACAATTATTAAAAATCAAAGGACAATTCTGTAGCGTCATAGAAAGAAAATTAGGTATATTTTTTGTTAGATAGAAAGACTACGACGTTGTGTCTAGTTTCAACATGTCATGGTCTTCAACCTGTACGCCCTGTAAAGAGATATTCCAAGGAGCAACATAAAAATATCCAATTATCGATCAATAAGATTACATATCTCATTGATATGTGTGTCCCGGAAGACTCAAAAATGTCCCAGTTAACATTTAGGCGCACTTTAGTACAAGGATATTTGACAAAATACAAAACTATTACTTTACGACCAGGACCAAATCTAATCCCCCAAGCTAACTCGAGAAAAGTAATACCTGACATACGATACGATAACATTGGACATTTGGTAGATTCTACTAAAGATGGTAAAAGACGAAGTAAACTACTAAAGATGTAAAAGTAAAGTGAGAACAATATGCATCAAATGTAATGTTGGATTATGTGTACCATGTTTTGTAACCTATCACACAAAAATGAACTTAGTTTTTACACTTTTTACATTTTTTTGTCGTATTTGTTCAGTGATTACATAGGTTTATTATTTTAATGCCCACGGGTCCATATGGATACGGGGTAAATTCAATATTTAGCATTGTCAAAAATTTTTTTTAATATATTTTTAGTTCTAGTTTTCTAAACCATTTTTAGTGGTTTTTGAAACAAACGCAAATATACACAAAAAAAAATAATTAAGGGCATTGCCAGGTTAATATTGTCTAATGTTGACAGATATCAAGTAATATTGTAAGGTACTGACTGACCTATCATTAGTACTCTGGTCCAATGAGATTTGTTTTAATTTCAGTGGTCTTTAATAAACCTTTCTCCCTCTGTAATAATCCTAGCTTTTCCTGCCAGTTCCAAAATACGGCAACAAGTGAATTGAAAATTGTTTTAATCCAACTGTATTGTACAATTCCGCAGTAGATTATTGTAAATACTTTTTCATCTACTTAAAAAGTAAATTTTAACATTTTAGATTAACAATTAGGTTAATTCTATAGCAAACAGACAATAGGAAAATGATAAAAATTGGTACGTATTTCGAAGTTTTAAATAATATAGTGTATTTTTCTTTCAAAAACTTGTCTGTTACTTTAATTTATTAAAATATGCCACATACGTTGATAAATAATTTGGTGATATAATAGTAAATATATTATGTTTATACTACAGATCGGCAGTTGACTTCACATAAAAATTAGAGTTTTAGCCTCATGGCTGTATGTGGACTACTTTTTTTAATTGTCTGATATTGTTTTACTTGGTTATATCGTATAACTCTGAATGCACAATCTTGGTTATCAAAATATTTTCTCGTTTAAATAAGATTTGTTGTTTTCATATAATAAAGCTTGTAGCTGAAATTAATAAAAATAAATCATTATCACCAATATTTCATAAAAATTATAAACAATATTGCCCTTGTATATTTTTAGTTACAGATATTTTGTAAATGCTATTTTGTAAATTTAACAATAAAATAAATTTTTAAAATGTAACAAGGTTGTCTATCATTGCAAATCTTCCAATGTTTTACACGATTCCAGTAACAGTGATGCCAACTTGTATTCATTGTCTTCTTCGATCAAACAATGTATTGTATGAGTTGCCAGTAACGTTATGTCCTTCAACGGACTTGGCGCGCACCATTCGTCATTCTAAAATAAAATACAAAAGTTAATGTAATATAATAATCAATAAATACTCATCCTGCTAAATTCACAAGTGTTAGTGCCCTTGAAGTTTACTTGAGAAGTATTTTATCTTTGAAATTTTTATTCATTTAAATTTAATAGATATAATAAACACATTATCATAATCTACAGGGTTAGGATAAAGTATGTATCCAACTAAGTATCGTTGAAACAAACAAGACTCCATTCATAAAACTTTGCATGCGAATACAATGACACATAACACATCTGACTGCATATTTTGTGTTACTACTCTACTTCCGGTTTCACCGGAAACACCCTCAACTTATTTAGGGGAAGTGAATCAATCCCTGCCGTCCGCAGATTACAGGTGTTTCTTGGCACGGGAAACCAGTACCTGCTGAGTGTCCCTTGTCCAAGAGTCACAGATGAAGTCCACAACGACATCCATGGCAGAGAAGACTGTCTTCACAACGATGTGGAGGGTGGAGGTGGCAGCCCCCTCGTTTTAGGACTTGAAATCAAAAAGGACACTCTTTCGCGCTAGGGTCTAAAATTGGTCCTAAGGCGGATGAGCCAAATTGTGATAAACGGCATACGGATGCAGAAGGCAAGAGCATACTGCATTAAAGGTTAAAACGAGCATCAATCGTAGAAAATCAACAGGGATAGTAAGCAAAGTGAAAATGTTACTGATTGCGGAATTCACAAGCCAAGATCCGGCAAGAGAGGGTAATCACGGGACTGCTGCCTCTTCGGTCATCAGCAAGCAAAACACTCGTAAAAGGAATGGAAGTAGAGGTAACATGAGAGTCGGGACATTGAATGTAAGAATAAGAAAAGTCTGTTTGCAGCAAGAAACCTGAATAATACAATTTTGGAAATGTAACGTCTGCAAATAAATATTTATTACTTACCGCCATGCGATGACAAGTGGCTGGAAATGAGTAACGAAACGGAATGCTGTACTACTTTGGTAGCGAAGATCCATCTCATTGGTATGGTGTAGGCATTCTCGTAGGTATCAAAGTTAATAGAGCGGTACTTAATTTTACGCCAATGATGATGTTTTCAGATAGAGTTGAAAAGATGAAAATGAACACAGAGAGAATCCCAGTAAACATAATACAGGTGTACGCTCCCAAAACCGATAAAAATGAGGAAGAGGCTGAGCCGTTTTACAACCAACTAAACAATGCTCTGAACCTAACAATAAAGTAACACTCATATTAGGAGATTTTAACGCCAAATTGGGTAAGGGTGAGACGTCAGAATTTGGTGAGAGAAATGAGCATGGATGTAGCCTCTTGGAATTCTGCTAAAGCGAAGATCTAATTACAGCAAACACTTTGTTCGATCTACCAAAGCACAGGCTATATACCTGTAAATCACCAGCAGATCGAGAAACACGTATTATCAGAAATCAAAAATACTTCATTTTAATTAGGAACAGAAAAGTAGAGACATTCAATAAAACCAGCAAAAACGTATCCATAGCGCACGTTTCTATTAGAGCAGTAATAGAGACAAAATTAAAAAGGTCAAACAAAAATAATAAACCTAAAAAACAATTTGATGTGAAAAGATTAAGAGATACAACAATAGAAAAAACAAAAGTTAAAATTTTGCTTATCTGTAACGTTTTACTACGTTTGAAGTGTTGTTCGATTAAGAAGTGTTTGAGCTGTTTAAATTTTACTGTTGTTGAAAAGAAATGAACAAAATTAGCTGGTTTTTAGTGAAAACTCATTCGCTTTAGGAGAAAATTCAAATCAAGGAACTTGGTAGACCACTTCCAGATTTGAATATAACAATTACGTAGATTTAACACCTAGCTCTTCAAATTTTAAAGCTCGTGTAAGGAAATTAAATAGAAATACATATTTAAAAAAAAGCTGGATTTGTGGATGTGATCAACAAAATGCATTTTTCTGTTTCGTGTGTGTTTTATTTGGGGGCGATTCAACATGGGTAAGACATGGTATCATTGATTTAGTGCATATTTACGAAAAAATAAAACCTCAAAGTATGGACCCTGAAGCTGTCCAGGTAGTTAGTAAAGTGTCAAACAAAAGATAATGTTACTTAAAACATACATTATAAAAAAGTTTATCTACAACTTACCAAAGTTTCCATATAATTAGTGAGAACGGTGCTAAGAGCACCGATGTTTTCACTAAGTTGTGGTGAAGACACCAAAAACTGAGAGAGCCTTTTGGCAGCAACGATCAGAAGGCACTTTCCCAGCTCTTTTGCTTCATTCACAGCTGGAATAAGTTCTTGAGCTATGCTGTCATAACCATTGGAATAAAGTTGAACGATCTGGTACCTACGCAGTTCATCAACGTCCAGGTTCCAGAGTTTCCCCAAATTGATACACTTAGCCATCCATTGTACGTGATCGGTGAAGTATATTTTACCTGATTCGTTAACTGTGATAGTTTCTAGCGTTGCCGATATTATTTTAAAGAGAAACTGTGTTCTGGATAAATTTAGTCTTATATCTGATCTGTTGCAGGATATTTGAACCTTTTTCTGTAGGTCAGTGAAAAATACATTAACAACAGAAGCTTCAAAAAGATTGTTAATGGGTTTGGAATGCTTAATAGAGAACGTAGTGATCATCAACAAGATCAAACTTAATTGGTAGTGCAAATGTAGCAACTCGAAATTTACAATTTTCTGTTGTACCGCTAGCTCTACCAAAGGTTTTCCTCCGTTATCCCATATATTTTCATAGTTCAGAACGGGTTTTGGAATATTGTCAGTATCTTTAACAGTTTCCATGAAGGAATCGAGAAATTCTGTTGACAAGCTTAGGAATACAGACATTTGGTAGTCAGTTAAACCAGTATCTTGTCGGCAAAGACGTTCTTTGGGCAGTTTTCCAACTTTGTTTATCAATTTGCAGGCACTTTCACTTACAATTTTTAAGTGTGTGTTCCAAAGAAGTTGATAAAGACCTGCAAGAGGAAGTATATTATAGTTAAAATATATACCAATTAAAAACATATTAAATATGATCAACTTCATATCATGAGTCTTCTCTCATGGTATTTATTACTCATCCATTGGTGTCGACTCGATTTACGCGCGAAATCTGGCTCGAATTCAGGGAGCCTTATTCATTATAATACTATATACAAAATGAGTTTGCCAACCAGATACACATAACAGTTTTTGTAGAACCCCAGCTCCGAGTGCAATGTGCATTTTAATGAAACAGTGGGACCCACATGCAAGAAGATCAAACCGGTACCACTCCGTTACGGAGTAGTACCTATCTGACCCTCAAGCTATAACCAACCACCCCTCACTATTACAGGACATAAAGAATGGGAAGGTTTTGTACTGAAAGTTACTATGGATGCCCTGGATAATGCGACATCCTCTATTTTACTTTATGCGGTTAAGCCACCCGATTTTAGGGATATATAGAAGAGCTTTTCTCCCTATGAATGACTGAAGTTAATTTTTATATAACTTTGGACTTGTGTCCCAATATGTGTGTTCCGGACAGCGGAACAGTCATCGACGTAAGTCGGTGACTCTCTGCCCGGATTGTGTTTGCCAACCTGATATAAAAATTTACAGATCTAAAATTGTTTACCTTGCTTCATATGAATATTTGTAACACAATTTAAACAACTTATGGCAGCTTGCAAAAGATTTAGGTTCTGCATATCCTTCTGCCAAGCTGTAGCATACTCCCAAGACATGTTCGTCAAAATGCAGTTGGCTTCGACACTATAAGGAAATTGTCTTCGCAGTAAGCTCAGATGTTCAAATAGTTTCACTTCTGCAACAGGATTTCCAGCATTGACGGCAGTATTCTGCAATAATTGAAAGCGTGTTAAACATTTGTAAAATATGTACTACAAAACTATTAGCTCTAAAATTATTTTAGTGCTTTTGCATCTCCACAGCTCTTGTACATTCGCTGTTGCTGTACTACACATTATTAGTTTATTGTAACTTACCTCTTGATCATTTTCTTTGTTTCTATCTTGATCCTCATGGGATAAAATACATTGGGGATTCACTCCAACTCTCGTCAGCCACTGGGCAACTAATTCGCTTACGGATCCTTTACCTTTTTGTAGAACGTATTTGAGACTAATATGAACCTCCTCTGGTTTCAATGTTGGCAAAGAATTCTCAACTGGTGGAGGTTTGGTCGACATGATTATGTTCAGAAGTGAAATGTCTTCAAGCTTACCTATAACATTTAAAACGAATTGAATGCAAATAATATGAAAAAATCGTTAAAAATAAGTTTTAGCTAAGAAGATATCAGTACATTCTGATAATACAGAAAAATTTCCGAATTTATGGTTTTCCCCATTCTATGGTGGCAAAAGAAAGCGCAAAGAAAAAAGAACAGAAAACAAAATACAGTACAAACGAACTTACGAAAGTATGGCTACAGGAAAAATGCAATGAAATTTGAAGCAGAGCACAAGGACAAAAAAATTTACAGAAAGCTTAAAGAGAAGATAAGAATTGGAAACCTAAAAATCAAATACAGATGAGAAATAAAGTATACAAGGTTAAGCACATGACAAAATGTATATTAGACGGACATGCGCTAATATGACCGAAGTACTGAGGAAAACAATCAAGAACTAGTTCAGAATCATAACAGGCTTCTTTACTGAATATGCGCCATTCAAGGAATACTTGCATACATTGGACATCTTTCATGGAGACTTCCCAGCAGACTTTGCAGCAGAGAACCAGAAAAACAGTCAACCTCATTTTGCAGTCAACCTCATGAGGCACTGGATCGTAAGGGGCAAATACTTTTTGGAGACTACCAAGTGACTCCAAAAACATACGGTATACAAAATAATTACACAGCTAGAGGATATTTCAAATTGATCATGGATGTAATTATAACGAAAGTTAAAACCAAAACGGAATATATAATGGGAACGAAAAAACTCAAAATTCTTTGCTATACATAAAATCTTGCACCAATTTTACAACACCGCTTTTCTTATTGGTATACCTATCCGTGGCGAATTTTGGCAATCATCATGGCAATCTTTATCTTGTCTGTAGCAGCGCGAAAAAGCTACAAGGATGTGGTTTTGAACAAGGTTCTGAGATTCTTTAACCAGCATGTTCTTCTTCTTCCTGGACTTCGCTGTCCAAATGTTTTTCCTTACAGGATGGTTTGTAGGAGAGCATATTATAGCATAATGTGTCCTAAGTACTTTAGCTTTCGAGATTTGATGGTGGTCAGTACCTCTCGGTTATTCTTCATTTTTCTGAGGAGCTCCTCATTTATGACTGCAGTTCACAAAATTTTAAGTATTTTTCGATATAGCCACATCTTAAATGCTTCCAATCTTCTGCACATATCTTCGATCGCGGTCCACGATTTAACACCATAAAAAGAACAGAGAAGACGTAGCATTGCATCATGCTAACTTTTATACCAAGAAAGGTTGCGCCTCTTGAAGAAGGCCCTCATTCGGTTGAAGGTGGTTCTAGCTTTTCCGATGCGTGCTCTTGTCTCCTGGTTGCTGGTCCATTCTTAATTCATTATGGTGCCGAGGTAGTTGTAGCGCGTCGCTCTTTCTACTGATGTTTGGTTGAAGTGGAGTTGACCTTCTGTTAGCTTTTTCTTGTTAATTATCATGAGCTTTGTCTTCTTTACGTTTATATTGAGTCCATATTGTTGACTGTAATACAAGATTTGTTCATCAGGACTTGTAGGTTGTCTGCAAATACTATGGTGTCATCTGCATATCTGATGTTTAACCGGTACCCGTATGCCGAATGCCGTTTTTCGGCATTTTCAATTTCATGCAAAGCTTAGCTAAATATTCTTTAAGAGTAGAGATTGAAGATTAGGAGACAAAATACAGCCTTGCCTCACTCCACGCATCATTTTCACGTATTTGGTGTGTTCACTTCAATTCTGAGATTTGCGTTCTGATTCCAGTAAAGGCTTCTCATTATTTTCAGATATTTCTTCTCTCGTACCAACAACATTTATGAACTCAAACTGGTTGGACAAAATTTGACTTTCACGCAGCTTGTAAATTCTCTTATGGATTATCTTTAGGAACAGTTTTAGGAGATGACTCACGAGGCTTATTGTAAGGTATTCAACCCTTGTATCATTTACAGTACAGCATGATAATTTCAAAAGTAAAAATGAAAACTATAATAATTTTCAAAAACCAAATCCATGCCAAATTGGCAATTGAAGACAAAATAATTGAACAGGTAATGGAAACAGAGTATCTAGGAATTAAATTATCTCGTGATCAAAATAGATGTAAAGCAACAAATAACTGAAGCTAACATAATATCTGGATTCCTGGGAGACACTATTTGGAGAAAGATAATACAACTATTTGTGATTCAGATTCTTTGATTCGACAAATACTTATGGATCCAAATTGTACTTTGCGCTTAACATTCTTTTATTTGACCTCATGTAAATGTCTTGTTTAACATACTTGAAAAACAAAATATGGATTCGTTTAAAATAAATGAAAATGTGGTTGATTTGTAACAAAACATTGTTTCATAGAGGGCGGCACCAGAAGGTATGAATGCTTGTATTTCTCTCTAAAAGTGTGTTCTTCGTTCATATTACATATTTAGCTTTTATCAAGGCTCATCAAGCAGTGCCATATCGATGGCCTTTAATTATTGGCATGGATAGAAAGGTATGGCCTTTAGTCAAATTTTATACTTTTCGAACAGTACTTCAAAAGGCATAAATGTCAGCCTGTTATCTCTAGTGTTCAGTTCAGTTCTTCAACAACTTGTCACTATAATCGGAGAATACAGTAAGCGAATGGGATTAGAGATTAATACCAAAAAGACCAAATTCATGATCATCTCCAGAAACTTGGATGCACTTGAAAACTCCACCATAACACTGAATACTAAGTCCATAGAAAGAGTATAATAATAATAGTCTCCCGTTTTATACCGCACGCGGCTTTGGGAGTATAGCAGGGTAGTCTGCTATATCTAGGGCCTACGGTATACAAGGAAGGTAACATGGCCAGTGCTACGCTTCAACCGCCTATTATTACCCCTGGTTTTACCCAAGGTACTCATTTTATTCAGGCTGAGTCGACCTGGGGCCTATAGACATTTTAAAAATGCCTAGTTGTTCTTGCCGGCGGTAGGATTCGAACTCACGACCACCGGCATGCGAGGCAAGCACACTACCGCTTGCGCTACGCGGGCCCATCATAGAAAGAGTGAGTAAATTTAAATACCTGGGATCGTGACTTTTTGAAGACTGGGCATCGGACAGGGAAGTAAAATGTCGCATTGAGCAAGCTCGATAAGCTTTCGTAAAATTAAAGAAGGTACTGACTTGTTCAGAGTTCGATCTTCAACTGAGACTAAGGTGTACTAAGTGTTACGTATGGTCAGTGCTGCTATATGGCGTAGAGGGCTGGACACTCAAAACGAGGGATACAAACAGATTAGAAGCTTTCGAAATGTGGTTTTATCGCCGTATCCTAAAAATACCAAAAAATACGAATACCGAAAATCAAAAATATAGATGTCCTTAAAAGAATAAACCAAGAACGCCAACTTTTCGAAACCATCAAGAAAAGGAAAACGGCGTATCTAGGTCACATCATGCGAAATGAAAAATACCAATTCTCCAACTTATAATCGAGGGTGAAATTGAAGGCAAGAGAGGAATGGGACGCAAGAAAATGTCCTGGCTCCGAAACATAAGGCAATGGACAGGGATTAACGACATACAATATCTGATACATATTGCAAGACATAGAGAATTAATGGAAAATGTGATCGCTAACATCCATTAGTGGATTTGCATCTGAAGAAGAAGAAGAAGTTCAGTTCAGAGACACACATTGGTGTCAATTTTTTGCCATTCAAAGTAGGTGGCGCCACATAGCACAAAGTGTAAAATTTAGAAAAGAATTCTGCCTTTCTCTCTCCGAGTCTGTCATCGATCTAGCATTGATTAATGAGGCTCAATAAAGGCAAAACGTGCAGCGTAAAAGAAGAGTAGATTTTATAGAGAAAATACAATCACCCATACTTTTTGTTGCATAATACACCACTGTCTATAGAAATAATTACAGAAATTTGTTTCTGAAAAACCAAAGTATTTTCAAATATTATTTCAATTTATGTATCGAATTATGTTAACGGAGCACGAAAGATGATTGACAAAGTCAACGTCGAATTGAAGTATTTGATTGATTATAAAATTGTTCAAAAGATCGATTTACTTTTAAAAGTCAGTGATGTGTTGCCTTACTTTGACCCTTAGCAAGTCGATAACGTCTGTACTACATTCCTGGATGACAATAAAAGTGCAGCATGCAGATCATACCACAATTTAGATAATGAGTACTTAACTGTTGGTTTATTATATTCAAAAAGAAAGTGAAGATGTAAGAGGTGTATCGTTATTAGTTAAGAATAATTTATCAAAAACTTCTCAAGAAACCGTTGAAAATATTAGAAATTGTGATTACAATACATATGTACAGTAGAACAATGCTGTTCCAACAAGAAACGCCCTAAAATATCGAGTGTTGAGAATGTTGAAAAATTATAAAATAATTATCTGGTAAAAACGATTTTCCTGAATAATACGTACCTATCAGCAGAGACCATGCAACATTCTCTTGGGACAAAACTTCCATATCCATATCATCCAAACTCGTTCCTGACTCCTCTAATTGCACTTCCATTTCAAACTTATGGGCAACGTTTTTACACAAAATGGCGGCCATAAGAGCCGGAAAAGGACGTGCGGAATTGGCCAGAACGTCTCTGATTTGACACCAGAACTTGGATTTCTCCCCGTATTCTGGATTCACGTCTTCTTTGGATATTTTTACGAACGCGTACATAATATCTGCTAGTTTTTGAATTTCTTTTTCTAGATTTAGGTTGATATGCAGGGACCTATTGACCCAATAATTGACTAGTAAATCAAAAAGATTCTTGGTTGATATTTTTAAGTTTGTTAATTTTGTTTGTAGTTCGGAAATATTTTTCATTGTTCCTAAAATATAGGGCTTGAAAATAATTTCCGACGCTTTGAATTTCAAATCGTCGTCCAGATTTGGTTTAAGACTGACAATATCTGGCTTGGAACAGTCAAAAACAGAGATGAATTCTGAAGGGAAGAATTTTAAACCATCAGTAAATTTGACATGTACTTCTGGAAGATTAACATTGTCATTAACAATACTTAGGTCTAGTAATTTTTGCAAATTTTTCATTTCTTTTACATCTATGTTCAAGGAAAATTCATTATGTGATTCGTTTCCGTTTTCCGCTTCAATGTCTACGGGATTCGTGATGAACAAAAATAATTCTAATAAAAGACTAGCATTTTGGCACAAAATTTTTAAATTAAGCGATTCTTCACTTTCTAATTCATTTACAAAATACTGGACACAACAAAGACTTACTTCAGGAGGCACATTTTTATTTCCCAATAGCATTTCCACCATCTGAGTCTTCCCTTCTATAGTTTTTAGTTCAGTACAAGTGTTTAATGACTCGTTTAACAGCCTGTCATTATCTACTAACTCAGATTTTAGTAGATGTCGGAATTTTTTGTATAAATGTATATCTCTGGCTCTCTTATTGTTCTTTTCAGCAAGAGCAAAGTGGAACGGCACAGAAAACTCTTTTACCTGTCCATCATTATCAATGAACAAAGTCGTATACTGGCAAATAAATTTGCTTTTAGAAGTATTACTGAAACCTACTAAACCATAATTAATATATAACAACCTACTGTACTTGGAGGCTGTAAATATTGATATTCTAGTTCCTTGTTGCACAGAAAATATTTCTAAAGTTCCTTTTTTGGGAGAATAAATCACCAAAAAATGAGCTACCTTATTGCCTAATCTATGTTTTGATTTCCTTTCATCTGCGACTTGAATAAATGAGCATTGGGCGTCTCTATAGCCCTTAAACATTCTAAGGACTATTCCTTTGAAAGTATCTACCAGTAAAATACGGCCTAAACTATCACAAACCGCAGCCAACTTATGATCTGGAGATAGAATTATCTCAGAGGATGTGCGTCTAAGGTCACATAGTCCAAATCTACATCCCATGGCATCGGCAGGCTGCACTGCTACAGATACTTGCTTTTCTTGAACAAATTTGTTTCCAGTTAACCAGCTCCTGCAAAAAATAATTTTTATGATTTACATAAAAAATATGTTATTATAGTTCCCTTTTTAAGTTGGCTTTCTTAGAATGATTTGAAGGTTGCTTGAAAATTAGGTTAAGCAATGTAGTAACACATATAAAAGAGAAATCAAAACGGGAATTTCTATTCCAATACCTGACCAATGGCATAAATTATCAAAAAATATATATATATATATCGATACCTTTTTGCCATAACATCGTAAGTCTCGTTTAGTAAATTTTACAGTACGGCAGTTTTTTCAATAAACGTGTTTAGAAATGTCCAATTGAAGTGAAAATTGGCATCCGGACGTATTATGATGAGTGTTTGAAGTAAAGTAATGATTTTTCTTCAAAATAGTTTCAGTTTTTTTGTAGTTGGACTTACGTTACTTTGGAAGCATCAAAAATAATTTTGCTACTGTAGTTTTATACAAGTCCAACACTTACGATAATTTTGGTAAATTCAGAAATAATTTCACATTGTGATTGTTATCGTAAGCTCAGCACTTACGATAAAAAGTATGTTTAGACACAGCCCCTTAAAGTAACATAAATAATACATAAAAAAATACCAAAAATCGTTTATTTAAGGTAATTTATTTGTGAAAAGTAAAAAGTACAATAGGCATTTAACTGAACAACAAATCGCTTTAGTCATAAACTTACAAAAATAGTCATAATATCTAATGTTATTGCATGTGGTATAATAAATGTGAATCATAGCTAGTCAGCAAAAGTCTAATCTTGGGGCCCTTCATCGCTTTCGTCTTCCTCATCGGATTCTGCTAGCTTATCTGGCATAGCTGACGTTTTCATTAGCCTATATTCATTTTGAAACCTGAGAGGAATTATATTGTTGTCGCAGAGATCAATTAAGTCTTTTTTCTTTGCAACGGAAATAGACAATTTTTGAGAATAAAGCCGTTTTGGTTTTTTTCCTTTTAATTCCATCGTGAAATTGATGCAGTTCTGGCCATTATTTAAATAGTCAACCTCTATAATAATATCTGCGTTACCTTTCTCAAATTTTACATTTTTAATTTCACTGATTTTTATAGGTTTTCCGTTCTTACATTTGAATTTACTCGGTTTTAGTACATCATCAGATATTTTTTTCCATTCTAAGAAGTCGCTGAAATCCATTTTTATTGTTTCAAATGGTTTAGGTTTGGTACGAGAGTTGGATATCAATGTACACCATTCTGATGGAGCCCATACTACGCGTTTTTTGATAAACCGCTCAATTGTTGCATGAACTGAGTCGACAGGCATATAAGTATGGCCTGGTAGTAAGTATCGCACACTGATTGATGTTATATTAACAGAATCCTTAAGAAAACTCGAGATCATTACAAACATTGCCTTGTTTTTGTTCTGTCCATAACAACTATCACAATTTAGTGATATATGTTTTACGGTTTGTCTTCTATCAACTTCTTGCAAATATTTGTAGATTATGGTAGATATTTCGTTACTGCCACGTCCTCCGTCACATTCTCCCCACAAATAACAAAACCCATTTTGGGTTCCACTTTCGTAAACCGTAAGATTGTAATAAGCATACTTTCTGGTGTAGTACAAGAGCAAATTGTCTCCATGTGGTGTGTTTAACACCTTCTGCAGGTCGAAACTAGCACATAAAAATTTTGAATCTAAGATAGTTTTCTTTTGATCAGCTAGAAATGAATCTTTGCATTTTTCTTTGTTTTCCAAATGTTTTTCATACAATTGCTTTGTTTCTTCTGTTTCCTCAAAATCTTTGTCTTTTCTCACTTCACAGACTTTGCACTTATCTTTTTTCGGCAAGTGAAATCCGATATTAAATTCTGCCTTAAAAATCTTTCGGAACACTTGCAGGGAAACGATATCGTTCTTAGTTATGCCATTTTCTATCTGTTTCTTCTTAAAAAGTTCGTATAAGAATGATACATTACGAAATTCAGTGGGTAAGTATCTTCTCGATGTTTTATTTCTGCAATAATGAGATGGGACAGCGGGTAGCAACGTGATAAAATCTAAAACATTCTGCTTCTGCTCTTTCCCAGTTTTGTTATGGGGAACATGCTTACCTCTCTGATCTATTTTGGAAAATGAGGCTGACGTAGAGTTTTCTTTCGTATATCTCAAAGTCATTTGTGAAATATCCAAGGTTTTCAATAAAAATTGTTGGCACACCTCGTGTTCCACATCATTCCACCTAATGATATACTTGTACGAACATTGTCTTCTGCTTCTTGCAGCCTCTTGTTTTCGACGTTTTATTTCAACATCTTTTATGCATGAAAGCAGCCAGTCTCGTTGCCTGTGTAGGCTTCCCAAGCCCCAATAAAATTCGAAAACATGTTCTCTCACTATCTCTGGAAATTTTGAAATACACTGGTTTGGGCAATTAATACTGCAAGGATTCTCTCTAACAGACTTTTTGGCACCGAACTTGTGATTACTTTTCCTTATTGTCTTTTTGCACGGTTTTTTCTGTTTCCTAAAACAAGTTTTTCCCATTGCATCTTCTTTATTGTCAGGCGAGTTGCTGTCACCATTGCTAATATTTTCTTCAAAGGAATATTCTGAAGAGTGGCGACGAAAACGTTTAGCTGTATTACAGGTACGACTATTTTGATCATTTTCGCTACTGGAAGAGTCATAGTCAACGAGTTTCACAGAGGGTCGTGTTGAAACTACTGGCTGGTTCTGGTGAAGGTCATCATCAACTGAAGAACTTGGCACATTACATTTGGATTTTATTTCTGTTCCGTCGGCAGTGATATGGTAAATTATAGGTTCGTCTAAACTAATTACGACCACGTCTGAAGATTGTAAATCTTTCAAGTTCGAGATTTGACCAACTTGTGAAGCAACACTGGTGCTAGAGCATGTGGTTGAGTCTATAATGGTGTCTAAGGACTTCTGTGATACCAGTGGAATCTCTTCGAATTCGCTTGATTCATACAAAGATGCTGAGTCTTTTACATCATACGAAACTGAAGATAATTCGCTGTCAAAGTTAGAGTCTCCCACATATAGTGAGAGTGACTCCAACTCATGTGAAGACTCAGACCGAGTGGTTACCAAAGACGGTATGGCATTTGATTCTTCTGTTCCTTGAGAACTAAGAGCTAATCTTACTAGATGTCTTGATCTACTACTCATGGCGATAATCTGAAATAAAAGAATATTTTATCTTATTTGTCGACTTTAAAATATTACTTATAAAAGTTATATTATTTTGAATTATAAGTGCGCCATATGTGGCCTCCATTCTTCTTGTCTTTTATTTTATTTTCGCCAGGTGTTATTAACGTTGTGGCCGTCCGATAGCTCGATCGGTACGGGATTTATCTTGTAGTATTCAATCTTACTCAATGTTGCGTAATATTACGCAACATTGCATCATGTACGATCAGTACGGAGTAAATCTTGTATTATTCAACCTTACGCAATATTACGCGTGAGATGAAACATCCTATATTGACCAAAAATGTGTCAACCCAGGTAAGACACCTTGTACATAAAATATGGAACTTGTAGTACCTTATAATACTCACTACAAAATAATACAAAAAGATAGGATTATGATTCTCTTGAGACGAAATAAATCTAGAACAACCATTACCTATCACACCAATACAATTATTACTAAGAAATCTCTATAATTTGAAAAAACTACGTATGTTAAGGAAATTTTGATTTTAAACTACATTTTTTACAATGTTTCCTACAAATCTCAACGAAAGCAAAAGTAAAAACCATAAATAATTACCAAAAAAATTATTTTGTGGTACTTACGTTCCGACTCTGCGGCTACACACAGTTCACTAATAGATCGTAATGAACTTCGCTGCATCGTAAGTAGCAAATTTTGTACCACGTGACTTGCACCTTACGATGTTTTTGGTGACCATGCGATGTTTTTCACAACTACAAAATAAATTTTTTCACATTTTTATGTGACTTACGTTACAGCAAATTCGGTTTTTTCTCCAAGACTATGCTATTATACCTTACAATAATTTTGCTGGGAGGTGCCTGGCGGCTTGATAGATACGATGCTTCAATAAAACTGTTTTCCCTAAATTTGTCACTTACGATGTTATGGCAAAAAGGTATCGATATATATATATATATATAATATATATATATATATATATATATATATATATATATATATATATATATATATATATACCTGATGATACCAACTAAAAAAATAGGTAATGTTGATGGAATAAAAGAATGGGAACAGTGTGCATTTATTAAAATATTAATCAAAAACTAAAGAAAATGAACCTTATCCTTAAAAATAATAAAGCACCTGAACCAGATCAAATCCCTGCTGAGCTACTTAAAGTTTTGGACAAATAAAACATTATATACTTAACCACTTTCTTTAACAAAATTTACATTAGGAATAATACCAGATGATTGGTTAGAGTCACTGTTTATAACATTAGAAAATCAGTCCCGCCAAATGCAGTGGTTTTAGACTTGTCAGTTTGATGAGACACACACATAAGATACTTTTAAAAATTATATGAAACCGAGTATTCCTTCTGTATGAAAATAAAATGGGTAATAAGCAATTTGGATTTAGAAATGGTCTAGAAACTAGATAAGCACTATTTTGTATGCGCGTTCTATTGCAAAAAAGCTGCGAGTTATAAAAGAATGTTCATGTTTGTTTCATAGACTTTGAGAAGCCATTCAACTAAGTACAACACAATACACTTTTCGAATGCCTGCGGGTAGCAGGACATGGCCACTACAATATAAGACTGCTAAAATACTTATTAAATCAAGTTGCATGTATCCAAATTGGAGATAGTCATACTGAAAAACTACCCATCAAACATGGAGGGGTTGTGTTTTGTCACCTAGTCTTTTTTAATCTATACTCTGAATAAATCTTTAGGGAGACTTTGGATGACAGATAAGAGGGAGTAAGACTATACAGAGAAGTAATCAACAACATCAGATATGCTGATGATACAGCAGTTCTTGCAGAAAATTTACAAGATCTCCAGACATTAGTAAATCTAGTCACTGAAGCAAGTTATCGGAGAGCCTTAAAGTTAACATTTCAAATACACAGTGGATGATAGTTGGAAAGATGCATGTAGATCAAGGTCAGCTTTTGCTAAATAGAAAGGATATATAATGTGTAAACTATTTTAAATACACTATCAGCTGGTTAAATGTAAATTATGACTCTGATGAAGAGATAATAACCAGGATTAAAATATCTCACAAGGGTTTTATGACTTGGAGACCAGTTTTATGTAAGAGAAAACATATTCGCAAGGAGGTTCTGAAATGTTATGTGTGGTTTTATATATGGTTATGTCCATGTCTCACAACCATATATCATATGGTTGTGAGACATGGACATTAAAAACCATGATGCTTAACAAATTAAAAGCATTCGAATTGTGGTGCTACCAACGGATCCTAAAAATATAATGGGTTTCATAGTCTTCCAATGAAGATGTTCTTAAAATGATAAATTCAGAATGCCTGTTCACAAACATCATAACGAGGAGAAAACAGAATACTTTGGCCATATAATTAGAGGACCCAAATACCATCTACTTTGCCTTACAATACAAGGAAACGTGGAGGGAAAGAGATGGATTGGTTGAAAGAAACTGTCTAATATTATGGCTGCATAATATTAGACATTGGTGTGGTGCCACAGTAGAAGAATGATCTGCAGCAGCCGATAGTGAAAAGTTTCAGGAAATTGTAAACATGACTGCCAATGTCTGAATACACACACGGCACCTAAAGAAGAAGATATAGAAGGTATTAATATTAATTCACTTCTACAATTTTTAAATTACAATACTAATACAATTTTTATTTAGTATTTATTATTCATGGTTATTATTGCTTGCTATATTTAAAAAATCCAATCACATTTTGAAATATGCTAATGGTGTGCCAAAGTTAATACGAAAAAACTAAATATATCTACCTGGTTCAAAACCCCCTCAGTCGAGACTTCAAAAGGGCTGGTGTATTTTCAGAATGTCAGAAGGTTACATACAAAACTTCAGCTACTGTGAAAATACTTCTTACTCACAATATGATATTTTAGTTTTTAGTGAAACATGATTAACAGATGACATAAAGAGCGCCGAACTGCAAATGTTTGACTAGAACATATATAGAAGAGATAGATCCTCAGAAACAAGTACCTTCTTGGAGAGAGGAGGGAGAAGAGGAGTGCTTAGAGCACCGACTCAAAATATCGAACATCTGTTTGTCAAGATTGAGATTGGCCACATCGACAAGTTTATCTTTGTAACTGCCTGCTTTCCACCATGTAGTATCATTGAAAAGTATGTCGAATTTGCAGAAAAGGTAATAATCTCGGTGAAAAGTATCCAGAATATAATTTATAATTAATTTATGTATCCTGGGAGAATTTAATCTTCCCAATTGTCAGTGGTCCATTGCTGGATTGTCTTCTGTGGCTACTCCATTACCAGGAACCTCACCAAATGAAGTTGATTCCATTCAATTCCTCTTATTTTTATGTTCATTTCATAATTTGTATCAAGTAAACACTGTTAAAAATGAAAACAACTCCTTATTAGATCTAGTCATGGTCCAAGATGAAGAGGTTGAGGTATCTAGAGCTGAGAGTGCCCCTACTCCCAGAGGATAGGCATCATCCTCCACTCTCATTTGGGTTTAAATGTGAATCTCAATATTTCAATGAGCCAGGATTGATTGGAGATGGCTTTTATAGAGATTTTCACTTAATGAGTGTATGGGAAGTAACAAACTTTCTTTCACAGTTTAAATGGGATGATTTGTTTAAAGATAAAAGTCTTGATGGCACGATCAACATGTTTTATGTTATTTACCTTGCAATTGATATTTTTGTTCCCCTGAAAAAGTAATCAGCAAAAAAATTTCCTGTCTGGATTTCTCCAGAGCTTAAAAAAACAATAATAAAAAAAAAAGAAAATGCATAAAAAATATCTAAAATCTCAATCAAGTACCTGCTGATAATAGTGAGTATTCATTATTAAGAGCTAACTTTAAACAACTGAAAGAACAATGTTATCTTGATTATATTGCTCTAACTGAATCCTCTCTGAAAGATAATGTTAAAAATTTTTAGAAATTTGTTAACAGTAAAAAAACAGAAATAATATTCCTTCTGTTATGAACTATATTAATATTTCTGGTTCTTCTGGTATGGAGATTGTCGATTTATTTGCTGAATACTTTTTCAAATCTTATAGTGATGAAGATTGTGATTTGCAGGATGAAACCTTTTTAACAGAAGACATCAACCTATCACAATTTAGCATTTCTATTTCGTCTATATATGAAAAACTTTCCATATTGGATAGCAACAAGGGGCCAGGTCCAGATGGTCTTCCACCTTCTTTTCTTAAACACTTTAGCTTTTTACTTTCTAGACCTCTTTTTCACATATCTAATCCTGTCATTAAAGACAGGGATGTTCCCTGTCTACTGGAAAACTAGCTTTATTACCACAATACTAAAATCTGGAGATAATTCTCAAGTGAACAATTATCAGCCTAGTAGCATTCTAAGTTTTATTCCCAAAGTTTTTGAGAGCCTTGTCTGTGACTATTTGTCACCAACTTTAAAAGGCTGTTTTATCAACCAGCAATTTGGATTTCTCTCTAGCAGCTCCACTGAACTTAATTTATTGACATTTACTGATTTCCTTATAGAATCTCTTGAAGATAGCTTCCAGATTCATGCCATATACACAAACTTTACAAAGGTGTTTGACCAGGTAAATCACAAGATTTTAAACAATAAGTTGAGGAGTCTGGGTATTCAGGGTGAAGATTTAGAATAGTAGTTATTCTACCTAACTGAAAGAATACAAATAGTATGTGTTTAGGGTTTTCAATTGTTTGAGATTAAGGTACTAAGGTACCATATCTCATCTGTTATCTCAAAATCACTCCAACTTTTAGGATTTATCAAATGTTGTGCTAAAGACTTTCTAAATATCCCATCCATAAAAATTTTGTATTGTTCACTTGTGAGATCCCACCTAGATTACTGTTCATGTGTTTGGTCTCCTCACTATAACACCTATATTCAAGCTATTGAGAGAGTTCAACACAACAAGAGTTGTTGCATTTAAACAAAACCAGAAAATTGGGACCAAAGAAGAAGGGAATGGAGGCCACAAACTATAAAAGAAGCCAGGGACACCCACCGACTAGATGGACCAATTATATAAAATGTGTAGCAGGAAACTGGCTACAACAGGCCCAGTGTAGAGAACACTGGAAAAACTGAGGGAGGCCTATGTCCAGCAGTGGATGTGATTGACTGATTGATGATGATGATGAGAGGATTGAAGAAATTAACTATTCAAACTACTCAAATATGGAAAGGTCCCTAAACATAATTTCTCTACACTCTACTATGTTTTATAGTATACATACTACACTCAACTATTTTTGGTCCTCAACTATTGGAAAAAAATTAATCTCCATGTTCCCAGTAGACAAACAAGGCTAAATCAACCCTTTTATGTTATACCCCATTGCACAAACTCTAGATGCAATTCCTTCATGTCTAGAATGCCAAGGTTTGCTAATCTATATTCCCAAAGGTTGGATTGTATAGTATTCCAAAAGAATTTAAAGCTCAGCTTAAGAACTGTGTGTGATAGCTTGATGTCCTTGTGTTTTGTACATTCTTTATTAATGTTTGTTATTTACTGTTCCTACTTTTATTTTTTGTATGATTAAAATTTTTAAATTTAATTTAAGTAGGTTCCATTAAGAATCTTCTGTAATTTATCAATAATGTTTACATTGTATTTTAATTGGATGATTGCCCCTTGATAAATAAATAAATCTTTTTTTGTGATGACAAATAAGGGTTTGTTAGGTTTATTTCTAAAAGTATATTGCTAATATTTTTAATTTGTTTCAGATACTTTGACCTTGCTTTCCTGCTATCAACATATTAGCTTATCCAAGGCTGCATGTTTATTCAAATTAGAATATTTATTACAAATTGTAAAAATAAATGAGTCAAAGTTACAGAATAATGTAAATGCATACATTTTCTGCTTCTTAATATCATTATATTTAATCTACTCTTAATTCAGATCTATACTATTCAGATTTTTCTTCTGTGTGAGATCCTATCTGGCTTCACCAATCCAACCTTTTGCCATTTCATCAATCTCCTTAATTTTAATTTATTTATTTGGACTGTTTTTTATATATTTATTTTCTGTATAACCCGACAAGCGAGAGCTGGCGGGTTGCGCGTAGAACAAATTGAAAAAAGGAAGGGATTGCTTCTTTCTATTGCAGTCAGCTAAGAGTTCACATCGTGTAATTAGTGCTAGATTTCTGATAGTGTTGTCAAGTATTTACGTTTTTATTTGGAGTGGCCCTATATTATAAACTATTATTATATTTCACCCGCCAGCTCTCACTTGTCGGATTATACTTTCTTGGAGTTAGTCTCCAAGTCACACTTTCAAATAGGATTGTAGGTGTCAGTACCAGAGAGGAAAATCTAAGAATTATTAATTATTAAAAATAGAAAGATTGTTAAAAATAACATAAGATATAAAAATTATTAATATTTAGTAATGAAATGATACTAAGGATGTAGTGAGAGCACAAATGAACAAGTATTAAAAGAGACAGAACAGAGAAAAAGGAAGAAATATTAATATAATGGGATATAATAGGAACTCAATTCCTTATGAAATTATTTTATAATTCTTCTTCTTCTTACGGTGCCTATCTGTTCCAGATGTTGGCAATCAACATGGCTATCCTAACTTTTATAATTATGAATTATTAATATAACTAAAATTATCTCATGAAAATTTTATAATTATGGAAAATAATTTACTTACGGCAAGGTATTTTTTAACTTATTAGCTACAGCTTTAGCAACATCACTTAGAACAGGCTGCCCTCCTCCTTCTAATGCATAGTGGTACCCTAAAAAAGGTTTAGAACCAGCTGCAACAACCAATGTATTGTTTGGAGGTACAGCCCTGTATTTTGAATGAAAACCTCCACAAGTTGAAGCTGTCAACAGATGATCAAATGTGTTGGAGAGATTTAATCCTACTACAACACTATCATTAATAACAGATTGATCTTGAAAACCCCATTTTTTAGGAACTAAAGGAGGAATATCCTGATTTTTTGGTTGGTTACGGCAACTTCTTAAAGTTTGGATCAACTGGATACCATTGAGCACACATAAATTACTTTGGTATTGCACATATATTTCTTCTGGGTGTAGATATGGTGATAAATCAGGTCTTGGATTATGTTGGGATCTACATTTTATGGTTGTTATATTTTCAGCATGAAATTGTTCTTCAAATAACAATTCACAATTCTCAGAGTAAAATCTTACATGTCCGGAATCAAATCCTATCACAATACATGTCCATTCAGGACCTAAAAATTTGAATATAAAGAAAGTTGTTCCTTTTATATTAAAATTGATGTATACCTAAACTAGTGTTACCATTTTGGCCTACAACAGGTAAACATAAAACAGCTTTTACTTTATCATAGTCATGGATGGGTCCTGAGTAAGATATTTGAAAGAGATTCAGGGAGGATTGAGGATCCCATTTTGGAGTAAGAACCACAATTTTTCTTTCATTTGCAATAACAAGCAAATCCCCAGTAGGGCATGCAGATAGTTTACAAGATTGAAGCCAGCTGTCAGTACCTAAAATTGATACAGGTAAAACCAAAAATACTAATGATCATTATTTATTACCTCTTTGGTCATCAGTTGGGAATAAACATTTCCTTATTTTATTAATTTCTTGTATACATGCTGTCACACGAATTTCGCAGGACATTTTATAAAAAGAAAATTCGTCATTACTCTTTGTTTACTAATTTCTTAAATTTGCCCATCCAGTCAACAGTCAAATTTAGACAAAGTCAAATTTAATGACAGTAAATGTCACTTTCCAGAGTAGCCAACAGCTTACGACATAAATTGTTCACTCACCACCGACTGTAAAACCTGCATACAAAACTTACACAACCGACAAAGATGCCAGTATTTTTCGATTAACTAACCTATAATTGTTGCCACCTCTTTTTCACTGCTGTCACTGTCATATTAAGTCGTAAACAAAAATAAAGCATTAAAATATTATACATATTATTAAACATATTTTATACATATTATGGCTAATCGAAAAAAAGTATGTACAATTATTTTAATTATTAGAACTAGTTTAAAAATCTACAATTGACATTTATTATATTTTTTAGAGTGCAAGTACTAGTGAATCTACTTCTGGGTCTTCAACAGATTCCTCTAGTTCTAGTTCTTCTTCCAGTGGCTCAGAATCGTCTTCATCAAGTGATTCAGATTCTTCAAGTTCCCAGAATTCCAGCAAACCCCAATCAGATGCTGACGAAGCTACCAAAAAAACCCCAGCCACTCAAAAACAAGTTAGAAAAAGCACAGAAAACAAAACACCTACTAACAAAACTTCCGATTCCAAATCTACCGGAAAAAATAAAGTACCAACTCCTAAAAATAATAAGCCTGCTGCAGCAAAGACTTATTCCACAGATGAAGATGATGAGATTAAAAAGCAACCTCCAAAACGAAAGAGCAATGTGAAGCCTAAGAGTAGTGCAACAATTACTCCAAAGTCGTCAGTTTCTCCTCCGAAACCAGCAGCGAAAGGAGCTGGGAAAGTAGCTGCTGCAAAGGCTAAAGCTGAACAGAAACAAGGACCAGTCAGAGGTATTGTAGAATCAAATTGTTTTTATAGGGGATATTATGCATAATTGTATCAAGTATGCATTCTGTAGTGTTTACAGTCAACATACACTAGCATTACAACATAATTCATAAATATATTACACATTTATCTTACATGTGGATGTGCTTAATATTGTTCTCAAGGTATTTTCTTGTGCCTTTTTAATATTATTTACTATTATCTTTCATAGTGCTGAGAAATTTGTGAAGAGGTTGGTTTCATTCAACATAACAGCATCTTCTCTGATTTTTCTCTTTTTGCTGTTTCCTTCAAAAAATCAAAGTATTGCTCTTATTGGTTGATTTCCATTAGACATGGTAAATAATGTGGATATGCTATTAAATTTTAGAGTGTGTCAAGATAATATTTGTTAAATAACATAGTCATTAGTCAATAACATATTAATATAAGGCTCTTAATGTCAAAAATAAAAACTTAGCTAAGTCTCACAGTACTAGTAAATGGTTCAAATTGATGGTAACAAGTCTATATTGTCAGCAACTATGAGCCTTTGTCTATTTAACACCTTTGCTGCACACCATTTGAAAAAGACTGGTAACTGCGTTTGCAGAAATTATGGCTAAAACTAAATACATATATTTCCATCTGGCGAATAACATACAAAGAAATGTGTTGGTAAAAACTAACATTATAGGTACCTATATTATTGTCCAAAAGAGTTCTATCTAATAGAGGGATAATTTAGTACTAGTTGTTATTTAAGTAGTAACACATACAAGTTATTTATTTTTCATTGTGAGATTCCTAGATAAATTCATCTGGTGAGTAATTTCATTTATAATTACCAGTTTAGTTTAGTTATCTTGGTCGAGCATCCTATAGTGTTTAAAATATTTGTAAAAGAATTGAGTAAAATGAATAGTAGAACTGTCAAATTTATTAATTTTCCTTGCAAAATACAACTACAAGTGGTAGTTGTGTAGACCCCAATCAGAATTTGGATCAGCACCAAGAAACAATTATACATACTTTGAGCAAATCAGAGGAAGAACTGTTTAGAGACAATTGGGAGTGTGATTCTAATTACGCTCTTTCTGAATGTTCAACTGATTAAGATAATGACTGGTATAAAATTAGTTCTGAGAAAACATATACTGACCAAACCTGAAGGACCTGGTACCAAAAAAAAAAAGGCAAAATTGTATGCAATGTTACTGAAAGCTGAGGAAAACAATGAAAAGTAAAGAAGTTGATAAAAAGATCACTAAAGTAACTACATACTGTGGCATATGCATGAGAAAACCTGCTTTTTCTTTACCATATTTTAATTTTAAACACAATGCATAAATTTTAAAACTTATACTTACTAAACTAATCATCATTAGCATTTGTTGTTTTTATATTTTATGAAAAATATGTATTTTGGTCTCAATAAAAGTTTTGGTTTTATATTATTTATATTATTTCAAAATATTATATGCAATTCTTAAAAAATTAAGTTTTTGCTTTATCAAAAGGAATAGCCCGATACTGATACAGTTTCCAGCAACTTTGTATATTCCTTGTATGTATACAACTATTAGTACACATCAATCTTTAAAAATGTACAGATAAATTGCACACACATTTCCTAAGAACTACCTGTCTATTGCGACTGGTGTATCTAAATACAGCATTCTATAGTAACAGGGAATTACAACTGGTAAGCATACAACATAATAATTTTTCTAAAACTAAATGAATTTTTCATAATTGCAGGCGAATGTTTTAATTGTTTTTGTTTGTACTACTATTTCTATGTTTTATTCAAAACTCAAATGAAGAAAGTTGTTAATAATTATTGGTATTTTTTGTTTTAATTGTTGTGGTACATAAGTTTTGTCTTAAAAGTGTTGGTTCTAAACATTTATCATTTATGTCTAAATTATTTATCGCATCATGTATCAAGCTTCTGTTTTAGCAACATAGATAGAACATTTACAGTCACTCTGCATAAGTGATTATTTCTTAAAAAATAATTTATCTGGTGAAAACTCTAAAATCAACATTCTGAGCTAATCATTGGAGTTGCCACAATAGTTTTTAACAATATTATGACCTCTTCAAAGATTTTGCAAATATTCTTCCTTAAAAGAAAAGATAGTAAATTCATAGACACACATCTCAGCAGCACATATTTGCTTTTCGATAGTTAATCTTTAATAGAGATGCTGATTATTGTATCTCTGAGCTGGTAAAGACATAAATGACATTCCAGTTTTTAGATAACATGAATCATATAGATAACAGTTTTTATATATGCATAAATTTAAGAAGTACCTATATACACAGAACAACTTATAAAACCACCACGATGGAATTCATTTCGAATAAAATATTGCAATCCTAAAAAAAATAATGAAATAATGACGCCGCTGGAATTATAGAATTTTCCAATAATTAGTAGTGTAAAGTGTTTCTTGGCAATGAGTCACCCTATTCAATTGATTGTTGGACTATAGTAGTGAGCCTTGACACAATGCTTTTAATAATGAACAGTGGTACAGGTATGTTTTCCTGTTACACAAGAATTAATAGATGCCGGTGAGGTGTTATCAAATGCCTCCTCTGCCTATGAACACACCTAATGACTAGATGACCTTTTCACGACATTTAAAAAGACAATGCAAAGCATCTATGGTGAATTTGTCTGGTTTATTTTCTTGTTTTTTTTTATGTTCTTTGTGAACCAATAAATTTGATAGGCATTCACTTCTTAAATATTTCTTTAATATCTTTTTTATACTCTTTAAAACAGATGTGATTAAGCTAATAGGTATATATACTTTGAGGATGTTTACCACTCTTAGGAATATCATCTTACACCATTTTTTGAAATGTAACCTAAGATAAAAGTTATCTTGAATATTAGTGATATATACAAATATTTAGTTAGAAGTTTGTTATTGTGATACAATTTATAAAAAGTGAAAATAGTTTTATTGCTTACTCTTATCACGGAATATTATTGTAAGGAGGGGCGCCCATGTGGCCTAATAGTAGAGCTGTCACTGATTACTAATTAGTTTTGTTTTTCTAGGAAAAGAGCCTCCAAAAATTCGTGCCCAAAAAGTTGCTGCCAAGAACAACACAGATGCTAATAAGAAGAAAAGTATTTTTTCACCTGAGAATAGTTCAGAGTCAGATTCTATAAAGGAAAAGAGCCACAAGGAACACCAACCAAAAGTGAAACCAGAACCTAGAGCTAAGGCACGAACTGTGGAAAAGGTTAGAAATGAAAAGAAAGAGGATAAAGTTAAATCAAAGGAAATTGTTGGTATGTAAAAAAGAAAATACCAGTAGTATATGAAACTTGTTTTGTTTAGACTTTTTTTAATAATTATAATAATAATATAATAATATAATTAAAACGCCCTGTGGGAGTTTTTGTCAGTTCTTATATCAGGCGCGGCCCCCTGCGAATGGGGGATGCTCTCTGGGTATTCTTAGAACTGATACCCAGAGGGTAGCAGGGATACCTGCCGTGGAACAAAAACTGACACCTGGCAATAGGTATAAAATACACACCCATGAAAATGGAGTTTAATATTATGTTTAGGGTCACTACCTGCTTTATCCGTCGCAACTATTAGCCAAACGCTAATAGTTGCGACCAATTCCGAATGATCAGCTTATTGAGCCAGGTCCTAAAACTCTTCTTAAAGATAATTCACACAAGAATATACAACAGATGTGAAAGAGACATTAGCCCCACACAGTTCGGTTTCAGGCAAGGATTTGGCACAAGAGAAGCACTTTATAACTTAACTGCCCTACTTCAAAAATGCAGAGATCAGTAAAAAGATGTCTTCCTATGCTTTATAGATTACCAGAAAGCATTAGATGGTGTTAATCATTCAGAATTAATAAGATTGCTCCAGGAACGTTCGATAGGTGAGTATGACCTTAAAATCATAAAGAACCTTTATATGAATCAAGTGACATCTGTGAGAGTAGGACTGGAATCTACATCATATTTCTCAATCGAAAAAGGTGTACGACAGGGTTGTGTTCTGTCAGCCCTCCTTTTTAATCTTTACTCTGAAACGATTTTCGATAGAGCCTTAAGTGACACTGAAGATGGAATCAAAATCAACGGACAGACTATTAGTAATCTTCGCTACGCTGATGATACAGTCATAATAGCTGATAGTCAAGAAGCGCTACAACGACTAATAGATAGAATAAACACTGAAGGAGAACGAGCGGGCTTGAAGATTAATATAGACAAGACGAAGGTAATGGTGGTTAGTAGAACACGAAATATGCAATTGAATATAAGTGTAAACAACAAGAACATCCAAAAGGTCCCCAAGTTCAGATATTTCGGTAGTTGGATAACTGAAGATCTAGATCGACATAGAGATACGTAGCAGGATTGAGCAAACCAGAACAGCATTTACTAATATGAGAACCCTGCTAAACAACAGCAGCCTCAACTTAATGCTTCGATATCGCTTTGTAAAATGTTACATTTACTCCATACTGCTATATGGTGTAGAAACCTGGACCATAAAGGCCAATGTGATGAACCGATTGGAGGCCTTTGAAATGTGGGTATTTAGAAGACTACTTAAAATTCCGTGGACAGATCACACAACAAATGTCGAAGTATTAAATCGAATCGGCAGAGAACGAGAATTGCTGCCAATAATAAAAAGAAGAAGAACTGCTTATCTGGGTCATATATTTCGAAATTCCAAGTACCAGTTCTTAAAGCTTATTATGGAAGGGAAGAAAGAAGGAAAACGAGGCGGAAGAAAGAAATACTCATGGCTTAAAAACATAAGGGATTGGACAAATCTCGATGCCCATGCACTTTTTAGAGCCACACAAGATCGAGAGGAGTATTCCAGAATTGTCGCCAACATCCACTAATTGGATAGGACACCATAAGAAGAAGTCGCTGCTTGGGAATCGCCAGGCCACGTCTGGAGCCGGCGCTGGACGTGACAGCATGCGGGACGCAACGAGATCAGCCAAGAATATGTCAACAATACAGCGCCGAACGATTGGTTGACATCAGGAAGATGTTTCCCCGAGACTGAGGGTTTTCTACTCGCCATTCAGGATCAGGTTATTCCAACTAAAAATTACCTGAAATATAAGATACCCAAGTCCAAAATGACAAATGTCGATATGGATGCCAAGCCCAAGAAACCATCCAACATCTTACCAGTGGCTGCTAGGCGTTTGTCGGTACTGATTATACATCATGACTCAGTAGGAAAGATTATCCACAAAGAATCAGCTGACGAACTGGGACTTCTCCAAACCGACCATCTTCCTTATTATCAATATGTCCCTGACAGAATGCTTGAAAATGACAACTACAAGCTATACTGGAATCACACAGTGCTCACAGACCAACCAGTGATGCATAATAGATCGGATCTCATACTAGTTAATAAACTTACTAGGAAAACAATACTTATTGATGTGGCGATACCCAACACCAATAATTTACGTGTTAAATATAACGAAAAGATTACGAAGTACAGAGATCTAGAAATGCAAATCAGGAGACAATGGAGAATGGAAAGTATTCAGACAGTACCTATTATTCTATCTACTACTGGTGTTATTCTCAAAAAGCTAATAGAGAACATGAAACAGCTGGGTCTAAATGAACATTTCTATAAGGCCATATAGAAAGCTGTACTGCTCGCGACGTCTAGATGTGTACGAAAATTTTTGGGAGATACTCCAGCATACGAAGTCACCTAAGGCTCGATGACACGGAAAGAGTTCCACCAGAGCTCAATCCTTTTGATACCGTCGGTATCTGGGATGAGTGAATTTTTCCCTTAGAGGGAATGTGAGCCGATGGCTAAATCTGGAATAATTAATAACTATAATAATTTAAAAGTTTAAAAATACTTGGAGATTAATAAGTGGGAGATATCAACAATTTATACTAAGTTTGTTGGAATACTTCAACAATGAAAAACAAAAGAACTGGCCATTATGATCTTTTTGGTGTGTATAAAAACAAATTTATTAAAAATTAACTTTAGGTGATACAAATACAAGGAGAAAATATTGTGGAAAATATTAATCATAATACTGGAACAGTTGCATAAAATTAACAGATATAATAATAATATGGGGATATGTGCATATGAGAGTATGAAACAGGCGAGTGCCAAACTTGGTGAAGATGACTAATTCTTTTCTGATGTGAAACTTTTATTGCACCGGGTATGGCTTCTGTCATGGCGACGCTTGACTATGTTCGAAGGGTCGCCTGCACTATTTAGTAACTCTTTGACTCTCTCTTTGACGTCTGCATTGTTATTGTTCTTTGTAACATGTTGTATGTGTTTTATTTAATTGAAAGGTATAATAGCGACAATAAAATATGAGTGAATTAATAAACACAACTGCTGACAATATTTAAGCAATTTTGATATTAAATCAATGTATAATTTTTAGTAAAGAATATACTAATTTTTTTCTTAAAAATATCTGTATATTAGGTGTTGATTATGTCATATTCATTTCCCTTAATAAACCATTAATTTCATACAGATTTTCTATACCTTATATTTTCGCCGTTTCACATCTGCTATACACTAGCGACGGATCATCTTTTTATTGATAATATTTAAATTTCGACGTCAAACTTTATTTTCGATATTGATTTCGGGTTTTCCAACTTCCTGATTGTCAACTTTTAGACATCGTTGATACCTGACAAAACTCATACTGTCTCTATAAAAACATCCTTTCACAGAGTTCAGACAGTTGCTCAATGGATGAAATTATTGAAGCACTCTGCAGGGAAACGCCAACGACAGTTGCTACAGGAATTCTTTAGTGATATAAGATTATTCTGAAACGTGGTAACGATAGCGACTATCTGAGAACTACTGGCATATTCTCAGCTGTTATGATTAATTACTGCAGAAATTAATATATGATAGAATATATGCCACTATCGATGCAGCAGTACTGTTCGAACAAGCCAAATTCAGAGGCTTGCGCAACTACAACGACCAAGTATTGTCTCTGACAATATTTATTGAGGCTGGTTTAAAAAAAAGGTGAACGACCGAACTCGTATATTTGTTAAATTTTATTTAAAAGTATTTACGACCATATAGGTAAATATATTTAACAATAATCTTGGTCGTTGTCTACTTTTAACATAGTTAAATATTTCGATCGATACTCTTGTCTTTATAATACTGGTTTATGCTTGTCTCAGTTCCTTATTAATTTTGGTTTATTTAACTGGCTTTTTTTGGATTTACAGTTACAATTTCAAAAGAAGTTGGGTTAGCCATTGTAGAATATTAATTTATTTGTCTTTATTCTAATTTATTGTCTATATTCTAATTTATTAAAACTCACGATAACTAATTAAAGTCTTTATTAATCCTAATTACAAATAATTTATTAACGTTTCGTTACATTTAAATATCGCGGTTCGCGAGCTTCTTATAACTAACTCCTCAATGAAATTCTTCCGGTATTTATATGAAACCAGCTTGTAACAGAATGTTTGTAGAAAATACGATGCCGTTCTCGATCTCGACGTAGACACGGCGGCGACTGGTCTCAAAACATGTTCTCTATCGGCTTGTCGCCCCCAGAACATTCGATTGTTGTTTGTCAGGTAGAATTTTTGACCTAGAAATTACGAGAATCAATACAAAAGAATTAGTCATGAAATATTTACAGTTCTATACGCCATAACATTTAAAATCGTAACATTGCCCCCCTCTTAAAAGATGGTTCCTCCTGGAACCTTGTCGGGACTGGAACTGGAACGACATGCTGATATCGGCAACTGGACCCTCTTTTACAACTTCCAGTTGTATAGAAATGACAAGGGACGGTTTTCTCTCCGCACCAGTAACTATGCGGATTGCAACAGACTAACACCTGGACTTCGGTGTCTTTAAAGATTTCCTCCACCATGTTTCGTATAACCCTCCAATCTAATTGGCGGCACTCCAACTTTGGCATGGCTAACTTTTGCACGTCGAACTCTAGTACGTGCTCTCTCAACTGAAGTAAGGCCTCCCATCCATCTCGGTAGGTAGGTTGATCACGGGCAGTGTCTTTTGTTACCAGGTAGAAAAGGTAACGTGATGCATCTTGAAGTTTTAAGGCTTTTCCAGGAGCTGGCACTTGGCATTGAAGTTCTGCAACTCGACCGAACTTCCTTCGAAAGACGGATGCCAACCCTGGTGCGTCTTTGATACTGGCCGGGATGGTAAGGGCCAGTGAGTAGTCATCGGGAAGCGCGAGTAGATCTTGCTTTTCTTC